GTTGTGTACTATGTCCCTGTACTTTGTCTCCTGACCATACTCTGCAGATGCCCATGCCCCAGCTTTGTTGGTACCCACAGCCACACACCTGATTCCTGTGCCAGAGCTAAGTCCGGAATGAGCGCTCAATAGGAACAGAATTCTCAGTTGAACTAGGGTTCCCATATCCCAAGCGATTCCATCTGCCAGGCTCTGAGTTACTGGTATTTTCCAAAATTTGTTTAATTCTACTAGCAACCATCTTTGGGAAAGGTACTCTTATCTTCATTTCACATGTGAGGAAACGAGGCTCAGAGATGTTAGTGAGCCTGTGCCCTCGGGCTCTGCCGCACCGCCTTCCTCTGGGAGACAGGGCGCCTCTGCCCTTCCAGCCTTGAGGTCTGAACCTTTGTGTGAAAAGTTGGAGCCTGAAAACAAACCAAATGTTTTCTGCTGCAAACACACGGAGGAGCCTTGCAAAACTCCGGGAGATGAGCCATCGATCCATTGGTCCCTCCATCACCAGTCCGTCTCAGCAATCACCTTCCCCTCTGGTTTATGCCAAGTCTGTAGGAAAGCATAGGTGTGTCCTACAGATTGGTGGGCGTGGTAGGAGGAGGAGTGTGTGAATGAGGGTTGGCTCGCTTCACACTGCCCTGCTCTTCCTGAATCAACCCCTTTGCACCTCCGGAAAGGTGCAAGTTATAAAACAAGTTTTATAAAAGCAGACCCTTGACTAGCTTCTCTCTTTGTCACTGCTCCTCGTCACCCATTGCTGGCCCTGGAAAAGCAGCTGTGAATCCGTTAGGGCTGGTCACCCTAGGACGGCAAACTGTATTTCAGAAAGTCACACTCAGATGTGCAGTCTGTTGCTCGTCTGGCTCAGTGGTGCCAGGTGAAGCAGAGATGGCCACAGCTGGGGTGCAGCGAACGACATCGAAGAAGCACGCGGCTGCCTTCCTTCTGCCCTACACCTTGACCGCTTCCTTAACCTCAGCCTCGGTTCCTTCCTGTGTTTAATAGGACAGGATTTCCCTTTTCCCTCACCTTCTCCAATGCAAAGCCTCTGGTATGGAAGTGGTCTTTAGTAGGAAAATTAAAAGATTGAGACTTTGTTAATAATAACATTTTTTGTGTGTTTTTTGTTTTGTTTTGATAATAACATATCAGAATGAGACCATGATGGGCAGAGGTGGGTAACATTAGCAAGAGACAAGATTGTTGGTCTTGTGGACACTCCACTCTAGACTCACACAGGTAAAGCAGGGGCCACAAACTAAAGAGCCCAGAAGGACCGGGCAGGTAATAACACAGATGAGCAGAATCAGAGGGAGGGTATATCCGCACAGTCGGGACAGGGGCCCTGAGGACCAGAGCTCCAGACTTGCCAAAAGGCGGGCACAACTCAGCCCCGAGCAGTTGTTGCCATCTGGGAACACAGGTTCAGCACTGATAAATCACTCCACTTTTCAAGAAAAGCCAGAAATTCTAATTTTTATACAAAATCTTATTTTTAAACATTACCTACTATGTCAACTTTTTGAAAGCAATGTGGGTCAACGAAACATGTGTCAAAGGGAAATACTTGTCTTCTGGAGGATTCCTCCTGAGAAGAGACATCTAGAAGAGTAACGCCTAGCCCCTCCCCACTCTCCCCTCATTCCTTTCCTGGAGGGAAAAGTAACTCACTTGATTAATGGGTTTGGAAAAAGGAACTGGGCGTTCACAACCCATGCCTTCCTCTCCCTTTCCTGTTCGAGCTACCTGCCCATGGGGTTCTGCCCTGATGAAGGGAAGCCTACCCCAGACCAGCATGGGTAAGCCTCTCGCTCTGGGATTCTGTATGAGGAACTCGATTTGCCTACCGCCATCAGCCATATTCTCCGGTATCCACTTTCCATTAAGGTGATGCATTAAGCCATCAGCTTGCTCTCTGGTGTCTTCTCAGTCGGCTCACAGCTCAGGCAGAGAAAAGCAGCCCTGTTTAGTGGGTCTACTGCAAGACTCCAAGGTCAGGTCTGGTCCCAGATCATAGCTTTGCTCCATCTGACTACAAACCAAATCTTTGGATGTAGAAGTAGGGCCTGCTATATCCCACCAGGGCAAAGGCAGGGGTCATGCTTAGAACTGTGAGGGTCTCCTGGTGATCCGCCAGGATGGAGCTCAGAGAGATGGGGTAGAGAAGACCAGGGGGTTGCGGGAGGTAAGAGAAGAGGGAGGGGAGCAGCAAAGTGAGGGTGGCCTAGGTGCCCATCAGAAGAGGACACCATGCGGACCGGAAGGGCTCGGTGGGAAAACGCAAGACTATTTTGCACTATCCTCTGACTATCCTTCATGCCCAGGATCGCTAACAGTAAGGCTGTTTTCTTTCAGGTAATGGTCTGTACTTCCACACCCTTCTTAGGCGTAACACGGGAATAGCAACATCTCCCGTGCCTCCTTCACAAGGTTGAAAGGATCAAATGAGTTATCTTTGGAGAATCTGCCCACAAGACCCTGTTATCTGTATCATCAACGATATAACTCAAGATGCCAAGAAGAGTCAAACCTACTTATTCTGAAACTCACTTTCTAAAACCCCAGAGCACTAAAATCAGATGTTGTTTTCTTGAGCGTGATTTAACAGCCATTGGGAACAAACAAAACTAATAACTAGAAAAAAATTTTAAATAGCAAAGTAAACCATTTTGAGGCTCATTCATTGAACACTTATTGAGCATTTACTCTGTGCCCATCCCTGGTCTGTGAACTGGGCCTGCAAAGTTGAATAGGTACATACTCTGAAAAAAGAGAGTTTATAATAGTGGCAATTTCCGGCAATTCAATGTTCTGTGTTTTTGTTTTGTCTTATTTTAACTGAAAGTACATTTTTAAAGAATGTTTGGGAATGATAGCCCTACAATGAAATATATTTTGTTTCACTTCCTTTAACCATTATTTTACGACAGCACTGACCTTCTGACCAGAAGCAAAATTCTGGCCTTTCTAAATATCCCATATTGGCTGGGCTTAATGGGTTTTCAAAATAAATGGATTGGATTTCTCAACCTGTCAAAATACAGAGCACAAGGGCTTTTTTGAACTCGAGAGGCCTGCTCTGAGCGCAGATTCAGAGTCCACCGTCTGAGCAGGGGAGCTCAGAGCCAGCTTATCAGCAACCTGTTATTTTTGATGGAAGCAGAGGTGACCACGACAAAGAAATGAGCTCAGGGAGGTCAAACTAACTTAAACATGATGTCACCCAGGGCGATCAAGGCATCAGATGCCTCAGACTCTCTCAGAAGGGAATTGTAGAGGATTTTAACCCAGGCATAAACCTAAGCCCCACCTGACAGCTCCTGCAGGGCTGTTGTTGGGAGGGGTTCAGGGAGGGGGTGGCGCTCCTGGGAAGATGGTCCCAGATGCCGGTGGCTAATGAATAAGTACAGGGTTAGCTATAAAATGATGGGCTGTGTTGTCATTAATAGTGGAAGGATTTTCTATTTTCTAGCTGTGTGACCCCAGACAAGATGTCAGTTTCCCCATCTGTGAAATGGGGCTGGTCACAGTACTGACTTCACGGAGCTGTCAAGATGGTCAAATATAATACCCAGGCAGAATAACTCCTCTGCAGAACTTTTGGAAGCCCACACTCACTCCTCCGAACAAGCTTCGTGATCATTCCGTGGTCTCTTGGAGGTCAAGAGAGGCTCCTTGTATATCAAGAAATGCCAAAACTGGTTCTAACGGAAATTGTGATGTTTTAATGGTCAACTCCTGTTGGGGCCTTTTTGTGACTATATGCCGAATCTCGTTTAGAGACAGCACGTAGGGTGGAATTTGAGACCTTTTGTGAGGCCATTGCAAAATGACCCCCCCCCACTTCAGCCCCACTCCAGGCCCTGCTCTCTCTCCTGGTACAGGAGAGGGCTCTAGGAGGGGTTAAGCTTGGCTCCTCCTGCCTTCTCCTCCCTCTCTTACACTCTGTGTAACTTTTAAGCACCTGATCCTACAGCGTGGGGAAAAGGGAAAGGGAGGATCCCAGAGGCCATTTACCATGTGGAGGGACAGCAGGGCCCTCAGCAAGAGGGGCTTCCTCTGCAGGGAGTGTTTTTATCTCACAACTACCAAGGGGAAAGGGAAATCTTTCCAGAGGATGTTTTTCCCTCAAGGCCACAGGATTTAAACCTCCCTGCCACCCAGCCACTGCTCTGAACGAATTATAGGGGCCGATCATTCTGTGAGCATGGGCTGGCTCTGTTGGAACACACTCTATGGAGCTCTTCTGCACGTTTCTCCAAGGCAGGGTGGGGGGCTCTTGTCAAGGTCAGCCAGAAGCATCGTATATGAATTAGCACGGACCCAGAGTCTTCATAAAAGGGGTAGGGGGCAGTCAAGGACAAGAAGGGAAGTGAAAATCTGATTTATCTTCTATTAATTTCTGAGTTCACCTTAGCACATTTTTTTAGCTTTGCTGAAAACGCTGGCTACCCGTTGTCCAGCCTCGCCCTGTGCCTAGGCCAGGCCACTCTGCCTGTCTAAAGAGGAAGGGAGGGAGAAAGCCAATCACTAACTCCACCTGGCCACACTGACAGCTCACCCGAGACACCTGCCGAGTGGGTTTGGAGATCAGAGGACCCCTATCAGAAGGAGGCACATGACAGTCCAGCTCCTACTGTGCCGTGTAGGGGTGCAGGAACCCATCAGGATAATTTCACGTTTCCGTTTTGCCGGCTCCAGGTTCTAGTGGATCATTTAGTGGACATCAAGGGGTGTCCCTGGTGTTGGGAATTACAAGATAGAAGCATTTCTCAGTCAGGATGTGAAATAAATCGTGGAACAAATGCCCACGGACAAAAGGGATGCCTATCAGCACGAGGCCAGTAAACGCCCTGGGAGCTACAATGGCACAAACCAGAGAGGGTTGATGTTGCCAGGGCACGCACTGCTAACTGCTACTGTGACTGTGAGCCAGGGAGCAACGTTTGTAGCACATCGAACCGGAAAAGGACAGTCCCTGGTGTTCCCAGGTTTGTCTTCTTTTCATTCTTTATTATCCCCGTCACGTTGACCTTCACCACTAATGTTGTTATCATCATAGTCAAACATTTTTATCATCATTCCTTGGCTAGGCACAGTCTCTCACAATTTACAGAGAACGTCTGCATCTGCTATGACAATTTGATCATCACGGTAACTGTTTGAAGTGGGTAAGGCAGTATTGGTGCCCCCTTTTTCCCCATGTGTAAACTAAGGCTTAGAGAAGGTAAATAGCAGACCCTAAGTCATACTCAGGTTCAGATTTCTTGTAAGTACTGTCAATTTACAACACTACAACTCTACTCTTAGGATGTGAAGATGATATCAAAACATTTAACTGATAAGGCATGGGTACTGACTGGTCAAGACAGACTCTAGCCATAAACAATGGACACATGTGGTCATTCTGGTTCATACAGCTGAATGTCTCCAAGGTGTTTGACCTGGGGCCACTGCTCTAAACACCACAACATTGCGTCTTTTGGTCCAGCCTTCTCTACCATTTCACATGAGTTCTGTTCCCAAATAAGACAGCAGCATGAGGCACTGAGAGGTGAGATGGTGGAGTTGTTACAATAAAGAGGCAGCTTTCAGTCTTGCTTTCTTTAACCATTTTGAAATAAGGCAGTGGGGGAAAGAGTTTGGGTGGGGTGGGAGGGCATGGAGGCTGTTACATGGGTTTGTGGCCTGAAGGAAGTCAACACTCTTCAGAGCTGGAAGATTGAGTTCAGACCAAGTCTTTAGGGTGACCTGAGGGAATCACATGGCTTTAGACAGGAGGAAAAGCCAGGAGTCAGGAGCCAGGTGGGAATAGGACTGGAGTCGGAGCCAGCTGGGACTCCAACGAGAACCCTATTTCCCACAGGGAACAGAAGGATCTGCTACTTGCTTCCCCTGGCGTGCGGCGTGCGGCGTGCGGCGTGCGGCGTGCGGCGTGCGGCGTGCGGCGTGCGGCAGAGTGGCGTGCGGCGTGCGGCGTGCGGCGTGCGGCAGAGTAGCCTGGCCTAGGCACAGGGCGAGGCTGGACAGCGGGTAGCCAGCGTTTTCAGCAAAGCTAAAAAAATGTGCTAAGGTGAACTCAGAAATTAATAGAAGACATCAGATTTTCACTTTCTCAGAGGCTACTCTATCCCCCATTAAAGATTGTTACTCATTCTATTTTTATACTTAGTTTTATCAACTCTTCCTATTTTTTTAAAAGGATCTTTTTTATTTCAAAAGTAAGACATGTTCACAGTTAGAAAAAAATTTAACATAGATAAGCAAAAAAAAGAAAAGGAAAATTAAAATCACCTCTGATCTCTCTATCCGGAAATAATATGGCTCAGTGTGTGGATACGCACCCTTCCAGACATTGTCCCGTGCATACAACTATCATTGTTACTGTGACAATTTGCAAATATTTAGTTGTTTTATGCCTAATGTTTTCTCTACCTACCGTTCTTGACGTTTCGGGACGTTATCTTCGTTTCACAGTGTGGACTTGGTACCAGGACTCTGAACATATTTTATTGCGTGGGTCCCTTGTTGAGATCGTAGAATCAGAGGCAGAACAACATTTATTAGGAATATCCAAGCACAGGACTCAGAAACAAATCGCTTGTGCCTGAGCAGCCTTCTGTGATTTCCAAGTGGCCGCGTGACACATGGAGCCCAGCAGAGCCATGGATCACTTCTACATAAACAGCAAGAACAATTCTTGATTTATATCTTCGTATTTTCTGCCTTGTTCTTGCAGAAAAGTTGGTAAAGGCTGATTAGACTGTTATACCTACTTTTTTTAGAAGATGGAAGATAGGAGAAAATATTACTGCCATGAAAGAAGGGGTAAACCCAGAGGAAAATCTGTTTTTTAAAAATCTGGGACTTGTCAGCATGATACACAGCTCTGAAGATTAGAGCAAAGCAAAACAAATGTGTGAGTTATTTCCTGGATCAAAAGTTTCCATCATCTTTTGGGCTCACTTTGTAGGCATTTGGCTATCTGTAAGTGATAAGCAAGATGGCCAACCCAGAGCATGATGCTTCCAGGCGCGATGGCCTTTGACCACGCCTCTGGCCACAGCCTTCATCACAAGAACGTCCACCAGCGGGAGAGCCGAGCTTAACGTTCCGATGAAGGTGTGTGCCTTTTTTATGATTATAATCCTGCTGAAGTGACGGGAAGCAGAAATGCGGGCAGAGACGTGTCACCAAATGAAGGGCCTCAGGGCCTCCATTTAAGGAGGGACTCATCTACAGGAAACAATTCTGCAGGATTTTTGACAACACATATTATTACTATGTGATTGCTTCTCGCAGAGTTTCTACACAAAAGGTGCTTGGCTAATTAAATTTTGTACACTGTAGGGTTGTAACAGTTTCGGCATCTGCTAGTTTTGAATTTTTTGACATTTTAAGCACAGCATACTCAAGTCTTATTTGCTTTTTAAAAGTACGACTGATCAACTCCCTCATCTTTATTGAAACTTACTTGCCCAGGACTCAGCCACCCACTCTCTGAGAGAGAAAAGAAATTCCCTTCTTAAAGAGCCTTCATCTTTATTGAAGAGAAAAGTCTTATTTATATGAAAGCACAAGAAAAGACCAAGAGAGCTCAAGTTTCTGTTGAGAAAGTTTCAGAAAAAAAGTGTTGTAGGCTAGAAAGCTGAATCCCAACACTGATTCTTATATGCTAAAAGCATGAAGAGGAAGGAAAAGAAAACCGAAAAAAAAAGCAAAAATAAATGTTCTACTCCCTAATGCTATATTCCATGAAAACAGGAAATGGAAGAAAATCCAGGCAAAATGTGATGAAAGATGGAGGTGATAGAATTGGCAAAAGCAGGAAAGGATGCTGGCAATGGAAGAAACATCTATAATGCTCATTCTTTCATTTTCTTTCTTAAAACAAATATTTACTGGGCACTTGTTATGTGCCAGACACTGTGCTAGGTGTGGGGATGAAGGTAAGTTAGACATGGTCCTGGCCCTCACGGGGCTTAAGTGACGGGGCGGGGCAAGAAACAAGAAGCAGGTAAACAGAGCGAAATAGCCTTTATTCATTACAGTTAAAACAAGACAACAGGCCCAAATGGGTTTGCCTATGCTGAGCCCCACTTCACCAAACTGAGGCGCCATTACAGCCCCTTCCTCACTGGCGCCGATGTTCTGCGGGAGACCCCTTTCCGCCACCCGCTCACTCCTTCTTTCAACTTTGCTGGTGACTTACTGTCCATTAGGTCCTCTGCTAGGCCCTGGGAATACGGAAACGAAGGCAGAGTTCCTCCCCTCAAGAAACGCAGGGTCCACTGGGGAGAGGAGGCATTTGAAGGAACAACTTCAGCACGTCCTTGGTGGCAAGTGCTGTCACAGGGACATGGGAGGACAATGGAACCACTCAGCTGAACAACTGAATTTTCAACTGGATACTCTGGAGCCAGTCAGTTTGGCCGTGTTCGTGTTGCATAGTGACCACTAGCACACAAAGAGTAAAAGAATTCTAAAAAGAATACCTCCATCACCTGGTCTAAATGTTATAACTCTAAGAATGCAGCCCAGGACTGTAATTAATTTCTTCAGTAGATGGCTAACTTAAAAAAACCGAAAACCAAAGAAACCCCTGAAGTGCTATTAGGCCCATCCTGTGCAAATGAAATAAAAACAGATAGACAGGGAGCTGGATAAACATTTTGCATCTCTTCCCCCGTGGTAACTCTCTCCCATTTCAGTCCAGCAGAGCACTCAGAGACAGCCCCGGGCCAGGAGCAAGGCTCAGATTCCCAGTTCTGCTGCTTCCACAGGCAGGACCTACCTCACAGATCTGTTGGAGGGGGAGAGGGGCAAGAAAAAGAATAAGGAAGGATTGAGGGCCGGCCTGTGGCCAAGTGGTGAAGTTCGCAGGCTTTTCACCTGCAGTCCGCAGTTCAACAGTTTGGATCTTGGGCGCCGACCAATGAGCTACACGCTGCTCATCAAGCCATGCTGTGGCAGGTCCCACACAGAAGAACTGGAATGACGTACAACCAGAATATGCAACCACGCACTGGGGATTTGGGGAGCGAAAAAGAAAAAGAATAAGGAATGAAATTATCTGGCATTTTGCCTTCCCCATAGTTGGTGCTCAATAAATGCGAGTGATATTGATTCTCGGCTTATTGGTTCATCAAGATTTTTTAAGACCTTGTGTCCAGCATGCAGTGCGTGAGGCTGCCTCTCAGCTTCAAGCCAATGGCAAACCTGCCAATGTGACTTCCCGTCTTCAACCATCCATTCCCAACTCCGTTCCTCATCTGTGTCTGGCCCCCTCGAGCTCAAGCTTTGCTTGGCCCAAGCGTCAGCCTCTCTGAAGGCCATTTATGTGCTCTGTTACACGGCAGACCTCCCACCCACCCACGTGCTGGTGCTCTCTTGCTCTCTCCTCCCTCTCTGGGGAAGGGCGCAGAGGAAAAATGTACTTCTTCACTGATAGGAAGCATGCCTCCCTCCCTGAAAAGGCAGAAATGTCTGTAGTCAGTTTGGGTTTACTTTTCATTACTTACGTATTATTGACGTAAGTTCTTTTATTAATTCCGTTTTATGGATGAGCAAATGGAGGTCAGGTAACTTGCCCGAGGCTGCAGTGCAGGTACGTGGCTGGACCTCTCTTTGAACCAGGCCTGTCCAACTCCACATGTCACCGAGGTTTAGAGGCGAACCGGGACGCTCAGAGCTGCAAGACACAGAAAGTCCCTTGAAGGCGCAGCGTTTACCCCACGCCAGGCTGACTCAGTTTCTTCAACGTGAGTGAGAACAAGCTGGTTAGAAGACATCTCGATCGAAGCAAGCACGCACTTCTTCACCCTCAGATCAAGAAAGCTGGTCCCGCAAACCAGCTAGGAAGGATTTCTTGAACAGCCTGCCTCACTGACAGCACTCTGAGAGAAAATCTCTCCTTGTGCTCTGCCCCACCCCCACTCCTGTTTCCTCCTTAGGGGCCAGGCGATCACCCACATTCAAAAATTACTCCATGATGTTTAAAATTTTTTAATTATGGGAGATCTTTTCCTTTGCCCTTCTTGGATGTCGGGGGAGATGATTCCTAGATGCTTCCCTCAGCAGGTGGCACCTTTACCCCAGCAGGAGATCGCAGGCTCCTGCAAAGTTGGACAAACCAGTTTTGTGTCCTTCCTCTGCCTTCTAGGTGAGCTTACAGCTGAATTTCCCCACCAGCTGGGCCTTAAAGGGCAAGCGGGGCTCAGGGCAGAAGGCATCACAAAGCAATCTTGGGCAGTATGCGTTCTTCGTTACATCTGAAAAATGCCACCAGCATCTTTGACCAAAGGCTTCTGCCGCTTGACTTCAACATCTTGTGATGTAGCTGGAATGTGAGAAATGGGGCTGAGGGTTGACTGGGGTCCAAAAATAAATATTTTCTATTGCCATGAAGCAGTTATAGTCACAAGTGAAATGCCAGCCACTTGGAAAAGCTATCAAACCCACCCATGCAGTCGGGTACGATCGTCATCCAGAGCACTTCTTAGATGCCTGGTGTTTGAAGCACAGTGCAGAACGACTTAAGCAGACACAACCTATTTCATGAGACATTTCCAAGGCAGGTCACATGTCTCTGATGCTGGCAGTGAAACTGGCTCAGACAGATGCCAAAGAGCCCCTCTCAGAGGCAGCCTGATGTATTATAATAAGAACTAACGTTTATTGGGCCCCTTCCATTTTCCAGGTCCATGCTACATGTCTCACATAATCTCCAGAGCAACCTTTGAAGGCGGGGTTGTTACCCCCATTTTACAGATGAAGAAACACAGGCTCCTAGGTGCTAAGTAACCACCCCAAGATGATACGGCTAGTAAATGATGAGGTGGAATTCCACCCAAGCCCCCTGACCCCATAGTTCACACCTAGATGATGCGTGTGGAGTGGCTCCAGAGTAAGTTCTGGAGTTGGGGAGCCCTGGATTCAAATTTCTGGCTTTATTACTCAATTGGACCAGGTATATAACCTCTCTAAACTTTAGTCACCTCATTTGCAAAACGTGGGGATGCTAATGCCGAGCTTGCAGGGAAGTAAATAAAGAAATACTCTTGTAACCAGATTGCATCCAAAGACTCACATGGATCAGCCCCAGAAGCAGATCCTTTTTAAATGCATAGCAGGAGGGAAAAGACTCCTATGTCAATAATTCTTGTTTCGTTTCATTTATAAAACCTCTAGCCCATGGTAGGCAGTCAATAAGTTGTAGCTACTATAATTCTTTTTTATATACTTTAAGTTATATCTTTAAATAACTAACCCCATTAATCTACAGTCATGTGCTGCATAACAACGTTTTGGTCAACAACAGACCACGCAACCACGGTGGTCCCATAAGTTTAGCACCACGTAGCCTAGGTGTGTAGTAGGCTGTACCATCTGGGTTTGTGTAAGTGCACTCTGTGACGTTTGCGCAATGATGAAATCACCTAACGCATTTCTCAGAACGTGTCCCCTTACCCTATTGTTAACTGACACATAACCATAACTGAAATGCTGCTTAAATCAACCTACTTCTCTACCCCCTCCTCACTTTTTAAAAAACTCTAACCTTTTCTGTTCATTTGTACTAAAACAGAATGAGATATGTGGCAGAAGCCCCCAACTTAGCAATGCCAAGCTGTCTTCCCTCAAAATTTTAGATTGATCTGTATGCATTTAGAAATCTGAATAAAGAAATGCCCAGCACCCAGGGTCTCCTGGCCCAGAAGTCATGAGGGGAGGCCCACCCACCAGCCTGGGTTGAGTACCAGCACAACCTCAGAGCTGGGGAGGACGGAGAGATATGGGACACAGATCTTCCACGGGCCCAGCTCATGGGAATCGTGTCTGATTGGACCCAGTGGTCCTGCTTCTTCCTTGATCCAAGACTTTTCCTGTGTTAAGATTCTTGTCTTACTCTAATTTATCATCCACACAGCAGCCAGAGTGGTCATCAGAGTATGCCAAATTCCCTTCCCTGTCCAAAAACTTCTAATAGCTTCCCATTGTGTTGATAAAAATCCAAACTCTTTACTATAGCTTACAATCCTACATGACATTGCCCCTGCCTACCTCTCTCAGCTCATTTCCTTCCACCTCTGACTTCTTCACTACACTCTACCTACAGTGACCTTCAAACGTCATTTCTGCCTCAGGGCCTTTGCCCTTGCTATTCCTCCTGCCTAGAATACGACCTTAGCTAAAATAGCCTCCCTAGGAACTCTATCACGCTATCCTATGCTATCTTTCTGCATAGCTCTTACCAGCATGGAAAATTAGCTTACCGGAATTTAAGCTCCTAGGATCAGGAATAGTAGCTGGTGAATAATAGGTACCACTGGTCTCCGCCCTCATCCTCCTGGCTTCCAGTCCCTGCTCCACGCCTTGGATTCAGCACAGCTTCTGCCTGCCTTGGCTTGGCAACCCATCTGGCTTGCACTGTCTGGCTTTCTGCTCTCAGCTCCCCATTTGATCTTGGTTCAGCAGTGTCCTTGGATTTCAGCATCACTCAAAGCTTTGCTTGATAAACGTTTCCTCTGCCACCCTGAGCCCCAGGTCCATTTCTCCGTGAAGAGGGTTCTGCCCTTGTCCGCTAGCCCTTGTGGGAGCAGCAGTCTACGCTGGCTCTCATGTCTATAGAAAGCCTTCGAAGCATCTAAAGCAGAAACTGAAACTCAGAGCACTGCAAGGGAGGCCAGATTCCTTCTTGGTGAGTTTCTACACGCCAGGCAGCCCAAACCACTGGGCTATCTAGAAGACTGGAAAGTCGGGCTGTGGCTGTAGTTTGCGTGACCCGAGAAATTGTCTGGCCCTGGAACAGTGCTTCCATCTCATCCTGGTGCTGGCAGGAGAAAACCTGCCACACCTGGTGCCACACAGTGATTCCCTGCGACACACAGAGAGCAACAGTAACAAGCCACCACCACTACCATCATGTACTGCGCTCCATGTTCATGTAGGTGTCAGGTACTTTGTGTTCATGATCCCACTTAATTTTCACAACAAAATCAAGACAGATGATGACCCCCATTTAACAGATGATAAAATGAAGCCTCAGAGACAGGCAATATAATGTTCTCAAGCTCATATAACAAATGAGTAGGAGTGCCTGAATTTCTGACTCCAGAGCCAATGCTCACAATCCATACCCTCTAAGCATGGGTCTCTTCGTGCACACACACACAGACACATGCACTCCACCGCAAATTACAAACTCAAGACCTAGGGTTCATCTCTTGTTCATCAGCCACCTAGCACAGGGTGATCCTTAGTGGATGGTCAGCACATTTTTGTAAATGTATTCCTAACACTATTGCATTCGCATTATAATTTATGTAGCCTAGAATTAATCGATCAATATAATATACATTGCCATAAGACACCACTGCTGGCTTTCCTATTACCTGCTATTGGCCATTTGGACTATTTCCAATTTTTAATTTTAATGGGCAGTACAGTTATTTGCTCTTACTGGAACATGGAAGGGGAATGAGAAATAGAAAGTGAACCTAATGAAAGAAAAATAACATTCTGCATCTTTCATGAGACTATTCAGGGTGAATCCAATTAAGTAATATACTAATTACACAAAGCAGAGAAACAATTCTGGTATCATGATGATAAACTTACCAGCCTTTTCTAGTAAACCTAAATACCACAACTTTCACGAGAAAAGCACTCATGTTTACTATATTGTACCCTCCTATCTAAGCAGATCCACCATTTTTTTCAAGAGTGAGTATCAGTCTGCAAACAGAAACACCAAAATTCTATAATTCAGAGGAAAAAAATGTGGCTATCTTTTAGCAGACTGAATTTGGTTAATAATGTACCAGAAGTGTTAAAATATCTGTATATAGCCCTTTAGGTCTGTGGTTTCTGGTTCAGATCTTTCAGCTCCGTTCCAGAGTGCCCTGCTGGACGGCTCTCAGGTGCTCTCTAGCGACGAGAGGAAGAGTCGTTTGGTGCCCGAGGCGCATTGTCACCTGTCCCTGTCGGGCACGCCTGAAAGTAATCACAACTCACACTTCTAGGTTTACATGAGGGATATAGGCATCATGGTGATTCTTTAAAGAAACACTTTATGTATTTACAGTCACTCCTAATGGCCGAGTTTACTTTTAGATTTATTAATATTAATAGGTTTTTGGCCTGTCAGTTTATTTGGTATAACTGCTACTGGAAATTTCCCTTTTCCTGCTCTCTTTTAAAACATGAGTAAAAAATTAATATGATAGTTTTAATCATCTTAAATAGGTCATTAAATATCTTTTCAAAGAATCGATAGGTATATTAAAAAATATATTCATTTTCGCACAAATGCAAATTTAAAAAGGAACAATACAACCCAGTAGTAATTTCTGCTTTAAGGAGACCTCAAACTGACACAGGCAGAGAAGGTCAACATTTTCCAAAACGTGCTCTGAGAGATACTAGTTCCCTGACGTGACAATGGGGGGAGAGGGGGCACGCTCAGCTGAGAGACCTTTCAGAAGATTAACTCACTCCCCTGGTTCTGTTTCCACGCTCAGCTCACAAATTGCTGCTCATTTGCCTTTCTGTGCTGCTTGCTCCCGGGAAGAGAACGCAGCAGGCACGTGACACAGCTTTCAGTCAGCTTTACAGCTCAGGTTCTCACCATGAATTTAAATGTCGGCATTCATATTTACGTGGACATACGTTTGTGTGTGCTCCTGTATGCATATAGTTGTTTATTTTGCTAGCTAGTTAGTGAATATGATCACAGAAAACATACCAAACTCTTTTTTTTCTGCTTTTTCTCCCCAAATCCCCCCAGTACATAGTCGTATATTACTGGTTGTGAGTCCTTCCAGTTGTGGCATGTGGGACGCCGCCTCAGGCCTCAACGTGGCCTGATGAGGGTGCCATGTCCGCGCCCAGGATCCGAACCAGTGAAACCCTGGGCCCCCGAAGCGGAGCACGTGAACTTAACCACTCGGCCACGGGGCCGACTCCCAAACTCTTAACAGTGCTTTTTTTTGGTGGAGCGGAAGCGGGTGTGCCAAGGGATTTCACTTTCAAAGCTATACTTTCTCGAATGTTTGAAATCTTTACAATGGGTATGTTTAACTTTTTAAATCAGAAATATACTATGTATGTGTATAAATATATATACGTATGTGTGCACACACATTAATTGTCATATTCAGTTGTAGAATTTGAGCGGTAAAACCCATCTCCCCAAATGTGTTTCTCCAGCCCCCACTTGTCCAGACTAATCCAGTCTCTCCAAGCACAGCCCACCCACCCACCTTAGTGTCTTCAAAACGGCGCGCGTTTGCTTGTAGCCAAAAGACAAGACCTGGATGGATGCTCTTGCCCGGCTCCTGGAGCTGAGGCTTAGAGCGCCCCCTTGAGGCTTAAGGACTCCGCTGTGCTTCCCAGCCCTGGTGGTTTCACGTGTAACCTGCAAGGTGACTGGTGCCAGAGCTGAAACCTGGACAGCCCCTTGAGACCGTCTTGTCACTGCTGGTGGGGTTGTTCCGCCTGGCAACCTTCAGTGTAAAAATAGTTCCTCTCACTGAAAAATATCAAGGTCATCCTTACTGGACTCTGGACTTCTGCTTGCTCTCAATTCCTCTCCTTCTCTTCCTCCCTCTCTCTCTCTTTCTCTACACACACACCCAACCAGTGCCCAATACTGCAAGTACACCCCCAAATATAGCCACACACTCAGGGGGCTGGCAGAATCAAGTTTCTGCATGAGTAGAATGAAGACCAGACCCCAAGTCAAGATGAACTCACCAGAATAAACACCATCCCATGGGGCTCCGTCTGGGAGCCGGGCGAATTCCCCTACGACACCCTCTCTGTCTCGTTGTGCGTCTTCTTCAAAGTGAAACAAGAACCTGGTCTCCCGGGTGTGATAATGAGCTAACATTTATTGAACACCTAATATATGCCAGGAACTGGTCTCTGCGTTTTATTTTTATGTATTATCTCATCTAAGCCTCACAGCAACCCTCCGAAATACTGTCAGTGCAAATAATCAATAACCAGTCTATAGAAAAGAAAGATGGAATGACATTTATTGATATTTATTGAGCCAATGCTGAGGACTATCCCAGAAGTGTTCTCTTCCCCAGGGAAGAACGCTCTCTGGGGAACCGTGGTTCACAGCACGGTTATATATTGTTTCAGAACAAAGAATGTACAGCAAGCCTGACAGGAATACAATTTTTTTCCCCCAAAGTCTCAAGGAAATTTTTTGCTGCAGTTTAGTACATACATAGCCAGTCAACTTGACCTTGTTTCTCCGAGAAGAAAAACTTATCTTCAAAGAAATACTGCTATTGGTGTCAGAGAAAGGGAGACAGTCTTTAGTCTATTTATCTATCTTTAAAGAGGGCATTCTTTGCTCTGCCAAAATGTTTGAAGCAGAGGGGCGGTGCATGTTTGGTGGGTCATAAGTCAGGTTGCTCTGGGAAAAACAAGTTTCAGGCTGAATCAGATTAAAACCAGAACGGCTTCCCCAGATACTGCAATATATGAAAACTTATTATTATTTTTATCTGTATGTACTATTCTTCTCCCCATTTTATAGACAAGAAGACTGGAGTTCAGAGAGCTTAAATAACTGGTCCAGGTGACACTACATGAATGCTTAGCTTCTGGCAAGAAAGGGGCATGAAACTCGGACGAGGTAATTCTGTTGTAAGCGTTTAACAAGGGCTCTGCGGTCAGCCCCAAGATGGGCTGCCCCCCGCCTTTTGCACTAAGATGAGGGTACTGGAATGGGGAGAGGGCCACGGGCTGTCGCTGCTAGAGGGAAATGTGGTGCATCATCCAAGAGCATCAATTTTCCTTCCAGGTTTTTTTGGGGAAGTGTTATTTTATGGTAAGTTCAATGCATGTATTAAGAAGTGTAATGCAAACTTGTTGTATTTTTAAAATACAAAAAGATAAAATAAAACTAAAACCCACCCTGTGGTAAAGGGCCACTCACTGAATCCTCCAGGGAGAGGCTTCCACGCTTTAGAGCACATGCTTGTCACCCACGGGCGGGGCCGGCCCCCTGGGACTGAGGCCTGTGTGGTCCCACCCATCCTTGGTTTAACGCTCTGCTGCTGCCATCTTGAAATTCTTACTAATTTTTAAACGAGGGGCTTTGGTTTCATTTTGCACTGGACACTGCAAATTCTCTGACTGGTCCTGCCTGGGGATCTTGTTAAAATGCAGCTTCTGGTTTGGCACATCTCGGGCAAGGCTAGGCTCCTGCAGTTCTGACAAAGTCCCAGGTAACGCCTGCTGTTGGTCCAAGTACCACACTCTGGGTAGCGAGACCCAGCCTTTTACTCTAGTCCGCAGGTTGTAGCGCTCTACTGGGGAAGTCTGAGAAGGGGTGGGGAAGGAAGGCAGTGAGTCATAGCAGTCGAAATCTTAGTCGTGAAAAGCATAGAGGCCGGCCCCATGGCCGAGTGGTTAAGTTCGCCCCACCGCTGCAGTGGCCCAGGGTTTTGCCGGTTTGGATCCTGGACGCCGACATGGCGCCGCTCATCAGGCCACGTTGAGGTGGCATCCCACGTACTACAACTAGAAGGGCCCACAACTAAAATATATACAACTATACACTGGAGGATTTGGGGAGAAAAAGCAGAAAGAAAAAAAAAAGATTTGCAACAGTTCTTAGTTCAGGTGCCAATCTTTAAAAAAAAAAACAGAAAAAAAAGAAAAGCATTGGTCTTTACTGCCACTTACTCCATAAAATTCCACAAATTACACATCCTTATGCTCAGTTTTCCCATCTGCAGGTGGGAATGCCAACAATCACCTCAGAGGACAGTTGTGAGGATTAAATGTTTGCAAAGCATATCACAGTCCAAGTGTTCGACAAATGCTATTTTAAGGCTCTAAATGGCAACTTAGCATAAAACCACGATGGAAAAGAAAACATGCAAGAAGTCTCTTTCTTCATGCTACCAACCACCCCCACTTTCCCTTGAACCCAGGACAGTGCTCCTGGAGGAAACAACTGTGTTAAGGAAACATCCTAGGACCTGCTCATTATGCACGGGAACCTGCTTTGCTCACACCATGAGAAGCACGATCAGTAACGAGAGCTGTAAATGCTGTGTGAGCCTGCTAGGGCTGTGTAACAAAGTACCACTAACCAGGGGGCTTGAACAACAGAAATTTATTTCCTTGGTTCTGGAGGCCAGAAGTCCAAGACGGCAGGGTCGGTGTCTCCCAAGGCCCCCCTCCTTGGCTGTAAAGGGCCATCACCTCCCTTTCGTCTTCCCAGGGTCTTCCCTCTGTGAGTGTCTGTGTCCAACGTCCTCTTCTGATAAGGACCCCGGTCAGATTTGATTGGGACCCACTCATATGACCTCATTTTACCTTAATTACATCTTTAAGGCCTCTAACTCCAAATACAGTCACATTCTGAGGTAGTGCGGGCTGGACTTTAACACTCTGATTTGGGGGGACATAATTCAGAACCTTAGCAGATATGGAGAACAAAACCAAACAGAAATAACATGTCAGTGGGTCCATATGCAACTCATTCCCAATTTCAGCATTCACTGCACTGTATCTGTTTCTGAGCCCCAAGGAACCCGTGACCCGCAAGGGGGTCCTGTCACCCTGAGCCGCCCGCGCCAATAGAAGGAGACTGGGTTTGGACTAGCAGAGCAGAAATTTATTCACTGACCGATGAACGGAGGAGGCAGAGCTCGAGCTCTCAACGCCTTCTCCCCAAGGGCAGGTGAGCAGGGTTCTTACGGGATGGGGGATCGGGGAGGGGTCACCGGGTCGTGGCTCCGGGCTGGGGCACGTGGGGCATGCGTGGAGCTTCCCTTCTTGCACAGGGCGCCCCATCGCCGTCTTGGACCTTCTGGTTTGGACGGGTTCTGTGGTTTGGCCTTCGGGCAACATACTGCCTCAGTTCCTGTAAGCAAGCACAACTTAAAACCAAGCGTTAGACATGGAAAGCATTGTAGGGACTTCCCTGGGTGACGTATCCTTTATTCTCAGGTGAATATTATCCACGGAGGATGAGAAGCTCTTCCATGGCAGGAAGGCAGCACGCGTGAGGGGCCTTCAGTCCAACAGAGCTGGCTTTGAATCTCAGCACTGACCACGAAAAACCTGAGCCTTAGCATTCTTTCCTCTAAAATGAGGGTCACAGTGATGCTACCTCATAGGATTATCGTGAAGGTTAAATGAGGCAGCAAATATGTAGCAGGTCTTTTCTTCCGTATTCAGCAAAAGGAACCACCGGCAGCTTGGTCTTCAGCGTCTTCCCCACCGCAGCACACTTGTAGTGGGCCTGACATTGAACGGAGCAAAGGCCTCTCCTTGGATGCAGGGCCCTGAGGATTGGAGTCAGGGAGATACACGGAGGTGAATGTGGGCAACCCAGGAAAGGATCCAGCGTAGGAGAAGGCGATGCATCGGCCCGAATCAAACGATGTGGGACTTAGGGTCAGCCTGGGCCATGAAGCCAGAAAGGAGAGTAAGAGGGGGACTGGGTCCTTGAGGTGCTTGATGCTGTAATTGCTTCTGCCTGTCGCCCAAGGCCGGTATAGTTTAAGAACAATCACCCTGGAGGCTCAGCTCGATTAGGGGTGACAAGGGGCCTCTGAACTGAGCACACCCCGGAGGCAGCCCTTCCCTTGAGAACCTGCGGGGGAGGAGCTGGGCCGGTGAACCGAGGCCGGGCCGCTGCAGCGCCCCAAGCAAGGGCCGGGCGGCAGGTCAGCGCGGCGGCCAAGGCCTTGCGAAGCTCGGGAGGAGCTGGGTCCCCTCCGCACGGCCCGAGCAGCCTGGCTGCTGCGGACGCGCTCCGCGGGGGAATAAAGAGAGAGGCGGGGCTCGGGCTGTGCGCCCCTCAGGGAGGGTAGCCCCGGGGCACAGGCTGTCCTGAGAACCGCCCCTCCCCTGCAGGAAGTTCTCCTCCGGCAGCTGCGGCTCCCAGAGGAGCAGAGACCCGGCCCAACTCCTGTGTCTCGGCCACTGGCCGCCCTGGGCAGCCGCCGCCGCACCCGGGGCCCTCACCGCGCGCGTCCGCTGAGATGGGACCAAACCCTTCTGCACTTCTGGCCGCAGGACGCACGCCGGGGCTCCCGGCTCCAGGACGCCCGGGGACAGGGGGACGGCAGGTGGGGCACCCCGGCAGGTGGGGCCTCCCGCGGTTGCCAGGTGCGTGTAGCGACGGACAACGTTGTGCCCAGAAAGAGGGCACTCTCTAGCACTTAGGAGCGTCTCTAAGGCACAGTCAGTGCCTTTTAAAAAATGGCAGTTGCAGGGCTGGCCCCCGCCGGCCCCGCGGACAGAGGGGGCGGCACGGACGGGAGCTCGGGGCTCATCTTCCTGAAAAAAAAAAAAAAAAAGTAGTTATTATCGTGGGAAAGGTAATTACTAACATAATCTGCCCCCCTCCCCCGCTGTTTTCTTCGCACAAAGTGGAACGAAGAGGAATTTCTCCCCACCAGCAGAGGAATGAAACTCTACCCTCAACCTTAAAGGATCGAGGACGGGATGGAGAGGACGGGATGGAAAGCCCCGGAGGACCCCTTTCTCCTTCCTCCCCGCTCCTTCTGCCCCTGCCGCCTCCGTGGCAGTCGCCTTCTAGAGCGATAACCGCAGCACCCCAGCTGTGGGAAAGCATGGAAACGCTGCTCGTGCTTCGAGACTCAGGCGAGCCCCCTCCTGGGCGGGGAAGCCTCCTCCCGGGCCGCGAGGCCTCCTCCAGCCCCCTCCGCCTCGGAGGAGGGACCTCGCCGTTGCCGGGACGCGGCGGCCCGGGCCCCTGCGCCGTCTCCTGGGTCTCTCGGCCCCCAGCGCCTGCATTAGCGCCTGGCACACGGCGCGGCGCTGCGCGTGTCCACTCCCGAACGTCCACCCTGAAGGAGGAGGGTCCCAGCCTAGGCTGAACTGGGGGGCAAAGGGTGGGGGCAGCTCGTCCCAGGAACGGAGTTGAGCCAGAGCGGCCTAAGGGGCACCGGCAACGCAGCCCAGGAGGAGATGGGCGTCCTGTGCTCAGCCAGGAAAGTGTCCCTGGCATGCAGGCTGCCAGCGGGACCAACGGGAGGTAGAAACGCCCTGAGGATGGAAGCGCCGAGGAGACGTGGAGGGCTGGGAGAGGGCGGAGAAGGCGAAATTCCGATCAGTGTGCCGCCCTTGAAATAGGTCAGGACAAGAGATTCCGCGCCGAGACTGGGCGAGGGGAGGCGCAAGTCCTGTTTTTAAGGTCACGGCTGAAGAATGGGGCGAGGGGGCTTGAGGGACTGCACAGCGAAGACGGACACGTCCGCGCACAGCTCCTCTCCACCGACTCAGGGAGGCAGCAAAGGAACGCGTCCAGAATGGATGCCTTGTAATCACACTTTTGACCTTTTAAACTGCTAAATTGCAGACATCATCCCGTTTAAAAGCAATATGGAGTGATAGCCAAGCAGACCTGGGTTCAGATCCCAGCTCTTCCACTTATTAGCTGAGTGAATTTAGATGACTCACTTCAGGTCTCTGAGCTTCAAAATGTCTTGCAAATGAAGGGTATTAAAGCCTTCCTCAAAGGACTAATGAGGCAAATCTAAGACAATGTATGTAAAGTGCTGAACACAGTGTCTGACACAGGGAGACACACTGCCAGTTCCATCCTTGGGCTGATTCTCTCTTTCCAGGGCCAGACAGAGATGTGTTTCTCAGATGTTTCTTTCTGATCCATCTACACTGCACCAAATCTTAACGTGACTTATTTTTTACATGGGGGGGGGGGGGTTGAGTGCTCAATACGATTGCACAACCCAAAATTAGTACAGACATCCTCTTTCAGGGACTGCAGGAGGTCATGTGGGTCTCGCCAGCCTTTGAACTATATTCTGCCCCTTTCTCTCATCTGTCACCTGGTGGATGCAATCTGTGCCATTTTATTTTCCTGTTCCTTCACCACTGAGTGATCAGGCAGTAATCATTGCTGCAGGAGCATTTACTCAGCCAAGCTATTTCACCAGCCTTACACCCTCAAATATACTCTTTGTTCTCCAACTGGAAATTGGGCTGTCTTTCATGAACAGAGATGACTCTTCACCTTCAATGGGCAAGTTTTCTTGCAATAACAATGGCTTGTGAGCTGTCCACAAACTGTTTCACTTAGGATCTCAGTCTTACTGGTAAGAAACATGATGGGAGGACTGACCAGTAGGCTGGAAATGTGTGCAATTACAATCCAACCTTAGCTGTAAAACTGTCCTGTATCAAAGGATGGAGAGGTGGACATATAGACTGAAATGTCAAGTAAGAAATCTCAAGGATGGCTCTTTTTATATGATAACCATCTTATACAGGGAAGGACAGAGTGGCCTCTATGTCATATCATTAATCTACTCTCATATGTCACCTATCATTTGTCACTCCTCTACAGTAATAACAAGATTCTGTAAACACACTGGAGATAAAAATAAAGCACATAAGGAGTCAATTTTCAATTTAGGTCCAAAACTAAGGGCAAAACACCCATTTTATCCATTTTACTATTGAGAGATACCCAATAACACTCTTTGTGTCTTAAAGCTGGTCATAAAAAAGTTACCCATACAGTGAAGTAGGCAGCATTTCCCAGTGAATTCATGTCTACACATGCTTCGTTTCCCAATGCAAGTGGCTTCTAGATGGATTTTGCCACTCACTAGATATACAACCTTAGGCAACTCACTTAACCTCCCTGAGCCTCAGTTTTCTTGTCTATAAATTAGGAAAACTAGGGGCCGGCCAGGTGGCACAGTGGTTAAGTTCGCACGTTCTGCTTCAGTGGCCCAGGGTTTGCCAGTTCAGATCCCAGGCGTGGACCTACGCACCGCTCATCAAGCCATTGCTGTGGCAGGCATCCCACATATAAAATAGAGGAAGATGGGCATGGATGTTAGCTCAGGGCCAGTCTTCCTCAGCAAAAGGAGGAGGATTGGTGGCAGATGTTAGCTCAGGGCTAATCTTCCTCAAAAAAAAAAATTGGGAAAAATAATAATAATTAAAAGGAGAGGGCAGTTTACAAAAAATGGTAGAACTCTAATACTAAATAACAAATAGTTGGAAGATAGGTGATTGCAGTTAAAATATTTTAAAGCCGTTATATTGTTTCAGAGGAAGATAAAGCTATTGACTAACTTTAAACTTTGTAAAGATAGTTATCCCTTTTATTGAGTAACTGACATACGAATGAAAATAGAATACATAACTTTCAAATGAGTAGAAGAGAAAAGCAGAGGAAACAGAAAACCCAGTCGACTCAATGGAAGGCAGGACTGAGCAAAGGGAGATAACCGAGCAGGGCAGGAAGAGCCAAAGTAGGAGGGTAGGAACAATCCCACAGGCATCAATAATAACAATAAATGGAAAAGGGTTCAGTTTACCAGCTGGAAGACAGAGACCTCCCGATTTTAAAGAAGAAGAACAATGCACTATTTGCTGTTTACAAGACATACCATTTTAAAAGGATACAGACCATCTAACTAAATACACTGAAATGACCTACCTCTCAGACAGAAACTACCTGAAGGAAATCTGACATGGCTACATTATTATCACATAAAATGGACTCCAAAAATTTAAAACGCATCACTAGAAGGTGTTTATGGAATGATAAAATGAGTAATTTACAGACAGTTATAAACATTTCCAGACTTATATGTACCTACTAACATGGCCTCAAAATACTTATAGCAGAAATGGACAGAATTACAAAAAGAAATTGACAATTCCCCATTATAGATGGGAAATTTTAATGTACTGCTTTCAGAAACTGATAAAGAAGACAAAAGAAAATTATTAACAATGCTTGGAATGTGAAAAAATTTAATCAAATGACTTATATAAAACTTTGTGCTTAAGGGCCAGCCCAGTGTCACAGTGGTTAAGTTCACACGTTCCACTTCGGGGGCCTGGGATTCACTGGTTTGGATTCTGGGTGCGGACATGGCACTGCTTGGCAAGCCATGCTGTGGTAGGCGTCCCACATATAAAGTGGAGGAAGACGGGCACAGATGCCAGCTCAGGGCCAGTCTTCCTCAGCAAAAAGAGGAGGATTGGCAGCAGATGTTAGCTCAGGGCTGATCTCCCTCAAAAAAACACACAAAAAACAAAAACAAAAAAACTTTGTGCTTAAGACGTTAGCTTAGGGACAATCTGCCTCACCAAAAACAAACAAACAAAGAAGCAAAGGAAATTCTGTGCTTAATAGTTCAATATAATACATTCTTTTCAAGTACACACGAAACATTTACCAACACAGGTCCCAGCCTATGTTGCAGAGAAGTCTCAACAAATACAAAATAATTTATATCATTCAAACTACATTATCTGTCTAAAATACAATGAAATTAAGAATCCTTTAGCAAAAACGTAAGCAATCACCCCGTTATACTGTACCTCTAATATAGTTAGAAAAATTAAAACATTTTTATAAATAAATACATTGATTAAGAAATTACAATAAAAATTATTAAATATTTAGGACAAAATTACAACGAAAGAACTGTCGTACAGCTAAAGCAGTTTTTGAAGAGAAATTTACAACCTTAATGCATGTATTAGAAAAAAAGATTGAAAATTAATTTATCATGCAACTAAAGAACGTACAAAAAGAACCAAAGAATTTGTGCTCAAAAAAGGGGGAAAAAAAGAGGACCAAGGATAGGTACAGAAATTAACGCAACAGAAAATAAGGGAAGAAGACAGGATCAACAATACCAAAACTCGTGTTTTGAAAAGATTAATATACTAGACAATCCTCTAGCGGGATCCATTAAAATAAAAAGAGAAGACATAAATGATATCAGGAAGGAAAAGGGGTATAGAATTAGAATAAATTTAAAACTAATAAGAAAATATCATAATTAACTTTAGGCCAAGATATTTGAAATGTGGAAGAAATGAGCAGATTTTTTTGCAAACTATAAATCACCAAAATTGAGTCAAGAAGAAATAGAAAACTTCAGTGGACTTTATAGTCAATAAAGAAATTGAATCAGTAATTTAAAAATCTATCCATGATAAAACAATGTGAAATTATTTTTTAGTGGACAGATTGATAAAAATCAAAACATCTGACAATGCGGAAAGTTGTCAAGGATGAAAGGAAATGGGAATTCTCAAACTCAGATGATGGAAATGCAAACTGGTACAACCTCTTGGGAGAGCAATTGGCAGTGTCTTCTAAAATTGTAGTTCTGCACATATCCTAAGACCTAGCAATTCTACTTCCAAGAATTTGCACTAGAAAAAGTCCAGCACATGTCTACAAGAACAGTGTGCAACACTGGTCATTGCAGCATCTTTCAAAACGGTGCAAAAAAGAAAGTTATGTAAATTTCTTTCAGTAGGAAACTAGATAAGTAACATATGTATGTGTATATGCATACAGCAAAAAGAGACACTCTAGTAGGGGAAATAAATGAACTTAGATACATGTTTCAACAAAGATAAATCTTACAAACAAAACATTGAAAAAGCAAGTTGCAAACAACAGCAGGCAAACACACAGAGACAGGGATTGGACTGGTGGTTACCAGAGGGGAAGCGGGGAGGCAGGAGGGCGAAAGGGGTGATTAGGTACATGTGTGTGGTGATGGATGGTAATTTGTCTTTGGGTGGTGAACATGATGTAATCTACACAGAAACTGAAATATAATGATGGACACCCGAAATTTATATAATGTTATAAACCAATGCTACTGCCAAAAAAACCCAACTAGGATTCCAAAGGGAAAACAAACAAACACAAATCTGAATCTGAAAAAAAAAAAAAAATCAATCAATTAAAAAAAAGACTAATTGAAAAAAAAAAGCAAGTTGCAAAAGGATACATATAGTAAGATATTGTGTCAAAGTTTTAGGAACACAGAACAATAGTATCCATTGCAGATTCCAGGTAGAGAAATAGATAGATACAGACAATTTAAAAACCTGGATGCCATGATTCAGATCAATTTAAGGATAGTGTGTTCTCTGGGGAAGGAGGGGGGAAATGGGATGGGAAGATATTCAATCATATCTGTAACATTTTATTTCTTTAAGGAAAAATAAATGTAAATGTGTCAAGTCTGGGCAGTGTTCATGGATGTCTCTATATGTGTATTTCTCTTGTATGCTTGAAATGTTTGTGACATTTTTAAAAAAATGGAGAAAATAGTACCTGCTCTGTCTTCTCCTAAAAACACCACAGGATATTTTTCAAATGTTCTGTAAACAATGAGCTTTATACGAATGTGAATGTGTGTCCTCTTCCGCTGTCCTGAGAGTGGGCGTCTCCTTGTGTGGCAGAGCCTGAGGCCCAGGCAGGGAGCCAAGCCAAGCCTCTCACCTGTGGCCCCACAAGGTCGTGTTAAGATCATTTCCAAGAGGGAATGCTGGCTAGAGCCCAAAGGGCATGTTGAAATGGGTACAGTGAGAAGTGTGGAGGGCCCGAATCTGGAGCTAAGAAATGGAACCAGAAGGAGGAAAAACGTACTCAGAAGATGACAGCAAGGGCCCGGGGACCTAACCAGGCAGAAAGAGGAATGCCGAAACAAATCCTAGAGCTGAAGGCTGAGGTCCCCGGCAGGTTTTCACATGGGTGGGTCAGCCCTTTGTGAAGAAAGGAATAGAGAGGGTGTACAGTCATTATCACTTCTGTTAGGCATGTGGCCTTGCGGTTCTGCAGGCTTGGTTTCACTTGTTTAGGCAGCTTCTTTGTTGATGCTCTTGCTCCTGAGACTCAGGCTGCGTTTCTCACGTGTTGGTTAGGTTTGGACGTGCGTTGTGGAGTAAAAACGGTTGTATGCGCCATTAGTTACGAGCGTGAGCTCTAGGGTTGAAGAGACAAGAGTTTGAATCCCGGCTCGAGGACTTACTAGATGGGTGCTCTCGGAAAAGCTGCTTAACTTCCCTGAGCCTTGATGTTTTCACCTGTAAGATGAAGCTGGTGAAGGGGCCTGCTCCACAGGGATGAAAGGAGTCCAGCAGCAGGTACTCTAGGCACGAAACACTTAATGAGTGTTGCCCATTTTCTGTAAAAAAAAAAAAAAGTAATTAAATCGTGGTTCTACGAATACCGTGAGTCACCTAAAAGCAACAATGTATTTCACCACATGTAGACCCTTTTCTTATTCCAGAGTAGTGTCAGGAGAGGTAACACTAATTACCCAATTAACAACAAGCACCTGGTCCTTTCCGGGGCCAGTCCCTTTGCAAACAACGCGTGCTGTAACACGGGGTTTCCAGGCAGCAGGGCCCCTGTCCTCTGCTGATAGTTACAGCAGATCCCTCCGCCTTGTCAAACCAGTCCGATCAGGACACCGGGCTTCAAATAATCACCTTTAGTTCCCACTCCAGCCAGGTCTATGAACTGAGGTGACCGAGGAAGTTGTTAAAAAAAAAAAAAAAAAAAGAGAGAGAGAGAGAGAAGAAAGAAAAGAAAAAGATTAAGAGAAAATATATCCTGGAACTAGATCTGATGGTTGCACAGTATTATGACTGTATTGAATGTCACCAGTGGTAAATTTATGTTATGTGTATTTTACCACAATAAAGAAAGAGAATAATGCAAGGCTAACCCTTGAGAGCCACAGACTCATCCACCAGACACAAAACTGGACTACGATTCCAGCAAAGACCAGAAGAGACAAGTAGTCTCTTTATGAATTGTCAGAGATGCATAAAAGATAGCAATATATCGTGCCTAACAGATAAAAGTATTTCATATCAT